CACCAGCATCCCCACCACCCCGGACCACTGGCCTGGAGAAGGAGTGCGGGCAGGGGATGCTGCAGGGGTCACGGGGCATCCGTCCCTGGGCAGCCCCCCAGTGCAGTGAGCAGACCCTGGTGACCCCGCGGAGGGACAGACCGTGGCGAGAGCTCAGCCTCAGGACTAGACACTGGAGACTCCACACAGGGAGTGTAGCTCCAGGGTCCAGGCATTTGTAAACTGCTCCTTTCAGCTTAGGTGATCTTTCCTCTCTGGGTAGACACGTGTGTCCGTGCGCACACTCTGTGAGTGCCAGGAGCCGCAGAGCAGCCAGTCTATTTCTTTTTAAAACTTGACATAAGCAGGTAAATTATCCCCAAGTAACACATTTACCACGAGAGCGTTGCTGCCAGCACGGGAGCTCCTGCCTCCCATTCCCTGCAGTGACAGGAGCCTGAGTTATGGCCCTGTTGGAGAGACAGCGGGTTCGTAAATGTCTCTGTGCTGTTTTCCAGCCTGACCAGAGCCCATTGATCACCAGGAGCAGGAGTAAAGCCAGTGAAGAGAAACAGGAGTGGGAAAAGCAGAGGCACATGGCCGGAGTTGTGCCAGGAGGTGAGCACATGCAGGGATGCTCAGATCTGGCCTTCTCCGGGACCTCCGTGTCCTTTCCCCTCTGGGATATCCCTGGTCTGAGGACACAGCCTGCATCTTTCACCTCTTGAACAAGCTGGTTTGCTTGGATCCAGAGAACAATTGCAAAAGGATTTAGGTTAGGACCCCATGGTGCTACAGGGGAAGGGCCCTGTGCTAGGGTGGTACAAACAGGGAGCTTTATGGCACATACATACATTCAGTGTGAAACAAGACCAGTTTGGGAGTGAGGACTGAGCCTTTGTTTGGCCACATCTCGTCCCTTGATGCTATCAGAAACTGGTGGCATCCTCACTGGATCCTGGGGAACTGGGATGCTGTTTGTACACAGTGAAAAACAGATCCTGACCAAAGGTTCAAGTCCAGGTTGGACAGGGCCTTGAGCAACCTAGACTAGTGTGAGCTGTTCCTGCCCATGGCATGGGGGCTGGAACCGGATGATCTTAAAGTCCTTTCCAACCCAAACCATTCTATAATTCCAGGATTTTAAAGAGCAAACAGCCTTAGGAGATGCAAGAAAGAGAGAAACTGAGGCGGAGGGTCTCACTGTAGCAAGTGGAGATGTCAGAGCCTCACTACAGGACCCTTTTACAACCTCAAGCACTCACTGGAGGACAGGCAGTGTTGAGAAGCTTATCTGAGCAACATATAACCTGCTTTGAGTGAACAGACCCCCAGAGACAGGCAAAGGAAGGGCTGTTTGCCCAGTGGACTCGCATCTCCCAGCCTGCAGCAGCTCCAGAGCAGCATCCCAGATGTGAGCACAGAGGTGGCAGCTCAGCAGCATGGAACAGGGCAGACATGGGGGTCATGCTGTATCTTTCCCAGAAGCTGTTCCCTTGGAGGAGTGGAGCAGAGCATGGCTGCTCCAGGCACAGGAGCTGTTCCATAAGAGCTGGCTTTAGGCACGTGGTTGCTCCCCCACTGTGAAACCACCCATCCTCTTCCTGAGCCCTGCACAGAGCTGGGCTGCTTCACACAAAGGTAAAGGATGGCCAAGGGGCTGTGTTGAACCAGGTCACTCATGAGATCTTACCTGTGAGTTACAGACAGGTTGTTTCCCATTGTCCAAGTAGGGAAACTGAGGCACAGAGGGCTGCTAGGACTTGGGGAGCAGGGTAAGATGCAGTGGGCCTGTCCTTGCTGCACCATCACTGCTAAGCCATACAGAAAGTCACTTGTCTACCAAGCGTGAAGCCCCTTGTGCAGACCATCCCCATGGCATCTGGGTCAGTTAGGGAGATGATACTGGCATGCCCAGAGGGCACCGGCTGCAGGCTTTGCTCCTCCAGACACACGCTCATGTGCTGCACCAGCCTCTGACGTGGCGTCCACCATCGGCATGGCACAGCATCCTGCTGATATCCGTTCCCCATCTCCATCAGGGCATCCCTGCCACCACCCAGGTGGATCTTCCTCCAGCTAGAGAGGGACTGCCACACAGAGCACCGATGCAAGATCTGGTGCATTCCCTGCTTCATCCCACACTCCTCCTGTCCTCTGGCTGCCCAGGCAGGGCTCTCACTCTGCATCCACTGGCTCTGAGGGTGCCCCACAGGGAGCTCTGCCCCCAGCCAGGCCCCCTCAGCAGCACCCCAGCAGCCTTTCCCTCGCGCTCCACGCCGCACCGCCATCGCCCCAGCCATCAATAGCGCTTGGTTAATTAATTTGATGGGAACAGCAGGGACCGCACTTTGCATTTAGTGAACTTCCGAGAACTTCCAACCTCATCTTCATAATTGGCCTCATAAATTTGAGGAAAGAGAGAAATCAGCAAAGCCGGAGGAGCGCGGGGGGCGGCAGAGGCCCCGCTCGTGGGAGGGCGGGCGCCGGAGCAGTGACTCTATTTGGTGTCCTTATTTAATTTTATTGCAGAGATCCATCTTCGCCCACCCCTCCCCGCCGAGCCCTCCCTCTCCCGCTCTCCCTGCTGGGTTCACCTAATCATGATAAATTCATATTCATTTCCCTGCCCGCTCCGGCGGGGGGAGCAGCTCCCTCGCATTCCCCCGGCTCTGCTGCCATTAGCAAATATTTACTCACGAACACGAAGCACCAGCGTTAGGAGGCAAATGCGCCCCTCTGCAACCCTCTTCCCCCATCCCTGCATGAGAACAAGCGTGATGGCTAAGAATGGGTCAGGATAGGGAGAGCGGGGAAGAGCTGCCTAATGCTCAGAGCTGCAGTGATTTGTCTTGGGGTTTTTCTTCCTTTCACCCCATGGGCACAGATGGCTGGGAGGGTGGAGGGGAGACAGGAATTGCCTGAACCCCCAGTCTGAAACGCTTTGGGGGTGCAGAGATTATGGGGTTCTGCAACAGGATCCAAGTGTCCAGCCCAGCTCCCTGACTTTCCACTTGGTCTCTAAGTGCTGCTGTGTTTAATTTTCAGGATGATCAGACTCACAGCCAGGGAGGGGGTGTGCTGGGGAGAAGCAATAGCCAAAGGCCCTTCCCGGGCAGCAGGAACCAGGCAACACCTCATTAGAGATGCCAAAAACTATCTTTGCTCACGCTCACCCTGCCCCTATCCTGGGCGCTATCCCCCACCTCCTGCCAGGCACCCCAGGAGCCCATCCCTTGTACCTTCATCACAGCTGTGGCATCCCGGGGTTTAGAAGACACAGAAGGTGTGCTGAGGTGGAAGGGTGGCCAGGTCCTGCCCTGCTGCAAGGGCAAAAGAGAGGTTTCAGTGCAGACCCCTGGCTTGGGGTCTGCAGCAGAATGGAGGGCAGGATTAGCGGCACAAAGAGGAGACTGCGTGAAGAAGTTCTGTCCAGGGTAGGAGGCACTGCCCAGCCCAGGGCTGACTCATGGTGTGCAGCACAGTCCAGCCCCTTACATTTCTTCCCTTGCACTAGGACTAGGGAGAAATGAGAGACTTCAGCATCCACGAATGTCACCTCCATGGACCATGTCCTTATCGTGCTCCTTCATCTCTTGCCCTCTGCCTCCAGAGATCGCCCCCATCCATCCTTAACCCACCTGGCTGCTGTTGGCCACAGGAGGGCCCTCTGCCCCCTCCAAAGCTCCCGGGCAGGGATCTGTGGGATTGGAGGGGACAGACATCAGGCCCCTGCCCTCACAGAGCAAGAGGCTAGCAGTGCTTAGCCCCAGCAGCCTCCACAAAACATGTATGAGCCAGGGCCCCCCTCACTGCCATTTCCCAAGGGATTGGTCAAAGAATCCTACTCCTGAGCAGCCCCACAAATCCCTATGTCCCTCCCCACTGAGTGAAAGCAGCACAAACGGCAGGGCCAGGGCTGTGATGTGCTGCTGCAGCACCCATTTGACACCAGGGTGTGAACTGTGGCCCTGGAAAAGTGGGGTGGCAAAGGGGAAGGAGCTAGGGGCAAGCAGTGCCACATCTCCCGTATCTCCAGTGATGTCTCCAGCATGTGGCTCTGGTGAAAGGGGCAGTCCCAGCCCCCCAGGAACAGCTCCTACACCCCAGTCCTTTCCCCAGACCAGGCAGAAACAGGCCCATGCCCAGGGCTGCCAGTCATAAAGCTCTAGGACAAGTCCTTCAGGATCATCCCAGCACCACTGGAAGGAGAGGGAGCTCCCATCCAACTTCCCTTTGAGACAGGAGTATCCCCAGCCCTGGACAAGGCCAGCTGTGGCCCTGCCTGGCTGACCCCAAGGATGGGGACCCCCTTCTCTCTGTGGCTGGTCCCTGGGCTGCAGAGCCCTCTGTGGCAGAGCATGCTCCCCCCGGACCTCCCAGGCCCTGGGCTGTGGCTGACTCCCCTTTGCTCCTGGATAACCCAGACCAGTCCTCACTGGCTCTTTCCCAGCAGCCTCTGGCCCTCTCCAGCTTCTCCATCTCCCTTTGGAGCCAATCATCATTGCTGCTCACCTCCATGTGCTCCCTTGGCTTCCAGGCTGTTCAGATTCCCCTTGGACCAACCAAAGCAATTCCATGCTCAGGAGGCTGAGCTGGGTTCCAGGCACAGAACAGGAGACAGAGCAGCAGCCAACTCTCATATACCCTACTGTTTGATGAATATGGAAAAGCTGAGAGCGATCCCTTGTTGACTCCACACCTGAAGTTAGAACTCAGCCCAAGACTCAGAGCTTGGGAATTGCTCTTTTCTCTGGGCACAGCCAGCCCCAGCTCAGCCACATGGCCAGTTGGATGCCAGGACAGAGCCAGGTCCTGCTCTGCCATGGGAGGATGGTGGTCAGCAACTCCCTGCCCTAAGAGCCAGAAGTGGCCATTCAATAGCATGAAGGTCTGCACTGCCTTCTCTCTACCCCTACTGAAAACAGGGAAACCAGAGAGCACAGGAGGGGCTTCTGGTCAACCAGAGAACAGAGTCCCGACCACTGCAGGGCAGAGAGCAAGAAGACAGAGATGCCAAGGAAAAAGAGAGAAGGGATTTATTATACTTCAAATTTCCAAGCACCAAGACATGCCAGAAGACATTCATTTCCACCGTGTGTTCAGTAAAGGCTGGGTTGACAAATGACACTGCTGGGGTCAAGGCCTCTCCAGTGCCACTGCTGGTGCCCAGCACCCACAGCTGAAAGTGCAGCAAGAAACTGTGGAAACCCAATGGGTTCAATGCCCTTGTGCCTGCCCCAGCAGCAAACACACAGCTTGTCACTGCAAGAGAAGGAAGCAGGAGGCGAGGCCAGGCCAGGCCCAGAGAACAGCCAGAGCGAGCGCTGGGGTCCTGGCACAAAAATGCCCACCATGGTGTTCTGGCAGCTCATGCCACAGAGCAGCACCTCTGCCAGAAGGAATCACTGCAATACCCATAATGGAAACAGAGCACTGAAAGGCTCTGGGAAATTCATCTCCAGAACATAAAATAGTTGAGGTTTCTTGAGAAATAAAACCTACTCCCATGGAACTGATGGGGCCAGCCACATGCACATGCATGTACAAACACACACACTTTCTCTGATCGAAGACCAGATGGCTCCATGGATTCCACACAAACACAATGGGAAAACTATACTTCACCCAAACTAGAACTAAACTATCTCCTTGAATTTCTCCCTGCCTCCTTGCCTCCCATGCACACGCAGACCAGCTGGGTTACATTCTGTGCCATTACATTCAAACCCTTCCTGAGCTGTGAGGTCTGCTCTTCTCCTGCACTGAAAAGAAAGGAGCCCTTAGGGCCAAACCAGGGGGATCACAGCTCCCTGCACCAGAGGATTCTTGGCACATGACAAGCTGAGAGCCAGCAGGAACAACACACTGGGTCCCTACACCTCCTTCAAAGCTTACTGGGCACCAGGGAAAGCTGGTGGCACTCATAGCAGCCTGGCCCTGTGCAGTGAGATCCACCAGAGGACACAAGCCAGCTCAGACGGAGGAAGGACACAGCAGCAGCACAGGGGAACCTTTTGTGAGTCCTGCCGAAGAGAGAAGAGGAAAGGCCTGTCACAGGGCCAAGCCAGACCCCCGCTGCCTTCATGCATAGGTCAGGACGGAGCATTTGGGGTGTCTGTGCTCAGACACAGAGGAAGATACATCCCACTTCTCCCATTCACAAGCACTGGGAGTGGCTACATCACAAGGCTCTGCAGCCCAGCCTTCTGAAGCTTTCCCAAGGAGAGCAGGGCCAGAATAGCTGATGGGCAGCAAGCCCTTTTGGTAGGTAGTGAGGGGCTCCTGTGACATCGGGTAGTGATCCAGCACGGCTCCAGCCCACGGCCTCCTCTGGGTGAAGCCACACAGCTCAGCCAGAAGCAGGGCCACACGTTTGCAATGAACCTCACTTTGCTGGGGTACGTCCTCCAGTTTGCAGTCACCACAGAGCAGCACTGGGGAGAGCAGCACCCTTCCAAACAGCAGCACAGCAATGGGCCCAGGGTGCTGGGTAACAACTGGGTGTCACCAGTCCCGTTCGGAGGGCTCCCGGTAAGGTAGCCCCAGCTGAATGAAGACATCTTTCTCAGTGGGAGTGGGCAAAGTATGACCAGCCGCCACCCTGACACCTCCAGGGCCCCGCACCACAGCCGAGCTGAGGGCGTGCTCGGACAGGCTCATGCCCTTGGTCTTGGCCAGGGCCCGCATGGAGCGGTTGAAGTGAGCCGAGCCAGTGAAGTAGAGCAGGGCACAGGCAAACTCCCTGTAGGGCACCACGATGATGTCGAGCCGGCGGTGACACCGGGCTGGCCCGGGCAGGCGACACACTCCCAGGTACTTCTTCTGCTCACCGTTGTCCTCCTGACTCACCAGGTCATCCGTAAGGAAGCCTGGAGAGAGAGAACAGACAGAGAGGAGCTGAATGGTAGAGACTGACACTCCCACCCTGAACTCCCCACTGCCCAGACAGCAGCTGAGGTGTCTCGTAATGCGCTGTGGGATCCCAGCCTCAGCCCTGACAGCCTCACACAGACGGGAGAAGCCATGCTGGGCTGCAGCAGTACTCCCTCCTTAACACTGGATGTGGAGCTGTCACTGGCGCAGGGCCAGGACCAGGGGCAGTACTCCTAAGGACTTACAGGACTTCCAGTCCTTCAGAAAAGTATTCACCTACCCTTCAATGAATGCCATTCACCTCATTGCCTCCTCAGCCTGGCCATGCTAAGAACAGTTTTGAGCAGCATATACCAGACCTCAGCCTCCTTACCACTCCTGCGGAGGCTGTCGAGCAGCTTGCTGAACACCCCACGGTGAGACTGCCCATCTGGGTGACTGACCAGCACATCCACGTCTCCACAGGTGGGCTTCCCCCGACGGTAGGAGCCACATGCCACACACACAAGCCCAGGTTTCAGGGCCAGGGCAGCTTGTCTGACCTCCAAGAAGAGAAAAAGGGATGTATAGTCAGAGACTTGTCTCTTCATGCTTTTTCCATCAAGACAGCAAAGGATCTTGTGCCTGCCTTGCGGCCTGTCCTACATCTCCTGAGTCTGAATCAGAGCAGATGCTTAGCAGGCATGGCAAACTGCACCACCTAGGAGCTGGCCTGCTGTCAGCAGCCACGAGTCAGGGTGATCTCCACCCAGTCCTGCAAATGCCCAGCACACTGCCACACAATACAATCATCTACTACGGTGCTACCTACCATCAATTATCCACTCTTGGGGGCACTGGGCTAGAGCTGGTTTAGGACAAGAAGCAAGACACAGCAATGCTGAGAAGGCAAAGTACAGCACAACCTTTCAGAGCCTTTGGTTTCTGAGACAGCAGGAGTGAAGAGGTTTATCAGCTCTCTTGTGGGCCAGTGTAGGCAAAGCTAAGCAGCCCACAAAGATCAGTTCAACATGGTCACAGGTCATGTTTCAGAAGCAGAGATGGGTTCATGAAGAGCCTCCCCAGCAGGGCCCAACATAGCAGAATATCTGCAAGTGTTCCTTGCAGTTCTCTCCTGCCAGGAGCTCTGCCCCTGCAGGTGAGCTGGGCTTCCTGACCCAGAAAAAACACAAATGTCCCAACATTTTAGACTCAACGGATGCCAACATGCTGCTGCCAGCAATCAGACACATATAATCAGAACTTTCCCTAATGCATCCACCTCCGGGCTGGACCCTAGCTCCTGTTTTGTGCAGGATTATGATACTTCAGTGCTAATTCTGATGGCTTAATTCATTAAATGCTTAAGAAAGGCTCCCACGTCCTTGGACAGGAGTATTCTTAGTGTGATTGTGCCAATCACCCTGCTGGCAGCAAATAATTAGGGGCTCAGCAATCCCCAGTGACGAGGCCATCAGAGGCTGGGGTTCAGGAAGGTAGTGTCCATGCCCACAGCCCCTTGTCACTCTTGGGGATCATCCTTCATTAGCAAGAGATAAACCCATTAACCTTTGCCCCAAAGGTGCTCCAAGAAGCCACAAGTCTTTCTCATGCGGAGCAAGCCCTCCTCTGGTGTCCTTGCCCCCCTTCTGGCTTTAAATGAAGATTTCTAGAAAACTCCCAGCCCCACCCGGGAGCCTAAAAGCTCCTAAGATCTCACTGTGACAGGCAGCACAGACATTGACTAATCCCTCATTCTCTCTCTTGGGCCTGGATCAGAGGTGTGTGCGTGTGTATGGAGGGGAGCCCAGTAATCCCATCAAGATAACAATAGACCCACCCCCAAGAGCCTGCTCCTCGACCCAGCCTGCCTGGGAAAGGGACCACTCACTACCAGGATGGCTAATCCGGCACACAGGACTGACACCCCAGCAGGAGCCTGGCAGCAGTGTATTCTTCTTGGCCAGGCCCTGTGGCCGAGTGACAGGGTCACGCTGGCTGCTGCTTCCATGGTGATCAGAGAGCACAGGGGCAGCAATGACACTGTGTTCCCCAAGCTCTCTGCTCACATTAGGGTACACTGACTTAGCACCCCATAATACTTGAGCACCATGGCTTACTAGAAAAAGCGACACCCATCCGCAACCTGGATCCCCTTTGCTTCCAGCAATGATATCCATGGAATCTGTTCCCCCACTGACAACCAGATCACAGGGGGCTCATGGCTTCCTTTGGAGAAGCAGTACCAGGGAGACATCTCAGGGGCCTTGGCTGAAAGCACACATTTCAGAGAAGATGAGAGGCAGGAAAGAAGACCTGAAAACCTACTCATCCCACCATGTCACATGCAGCCTTTTTCAAAGCAGTGTGTAGAACTGACACCTGTGAAGTACCCTTCTCCTCGCCAGGCATTAAAACTGAATCTTCCTAAGGGGCAAAGTAGGCATCTTATGAGCCCATGGCCAAAAAGGATCCCCCAGGCACTGACCCTGCTCAAGAGGAGAGGCTGAAGAGCTCAGCTATAGCAGTGAGGGATGTTTCCACAGCACACATCCTCCTGCCAAGTCCCAGCAGGTACAGGTACTCCACGCTGAGGGCTCAGGGCTGAGGTACTCACAGTGTGTTCTATTTCTGCAGCCTCCTCCCGAGGCATACGCTCCTGGAAATCTGTGTAGTGCTTCAGCCCCACAGCCTGCTGGTGGGTGAGGGTCGCCTTGGTGCGGATATCATCCAGCGTCCGGAAACCCTAGTGCAGAACATGGGGTGATAGACAAACACCTACCAAGGCTTTGCTCTTCAAATACTTCCAACAAAGACTTGGGAAGAATGTGTTTAACCTGACTCAAGTCCAGGCCAGCCACAGCTTCTGAGATCACATGCAGATCCAGTTCTTTTGGAACCAGACTTAGTGCCTCGCTCCACAAGAAGGGATTTAGGCAATCCCACTACTCACACACACTCCAGTACCCACCCTGCAATGAGTAGGAAGCTTAACTAAACTAGGCAGAAGGCTACTGTTCTTAAGGCGCTGTGTTCCTACAGCTTGAAGGAAAACGGTAACACAGGTAAAGGAACAACACCCAGAATATCCCAATGAAGGAAAGCCTACAGCATGAACACAATCCTGTTCTTAAGACAGTAAAGAATCCAGTCACAAACCAAACACTACAGGAAATCAGGCTCCATCAGCTGTGTCCTCAGGAGACAAACTGTTTTTAAAGAAGGAATCCACTCTGTGGGCTGGGTTGCTCCTGTTGGCACCATTACCTCAATCTCATTTTTACAACTTCCAGATAAGGTGGATAGCTGCTCTGACAGCTACAGGAGCCAGCTGGGCCAACAGGACAGCAACTGAATCCGGAGCTTTCATGGCCAAGATGCCCTGACTCAAGCCTGGCTCTTAGCAGCGTCATTGCCATAAGCAGCATGAGAAGAGCTCCAAGCAGTGACGCTAAGGGAAAAGGCAGTGTGTCCCTCACTCCTCCAATCATTCAACTTTGTCCTCTACACTCTCCCGAACTCAAGTCTTAGGTGGGTGCACTCCATTCACCCCAAACACATTCACAATAGGAGCCAGCTTCATAGCTCCTCCCACAAAAGCAGATTCAAATCCCACCCATGGATATTGGCAACTGGAAACTATTTGTGCAGGTAAGCCTCCTACACTGAGCAGCAGTCTTCAAACCACAGCCTGAGAACCTCCTGTATAAGGCACTAAACTTACCTGCTGGTACCACATCTGAGCTGTTTTAGCCCCTGCTCCCCAGATGTTGGAAAACAACTCCAGCACTGGCACACTCTCACTGATGTGATCCAGCTTGCGCAGGTGCCCACTCTCCAAGATCTCCAGGATCTTCTCTGCCATCCGTTTCCCAATCCCAGGGATTTTACAGGCTTCCTAGAAAGAAACCAGAGCTGCTACTGGAAAAGTGAAGATCACAGACAAACTGGGAAGCTGCTACCCACTCAGAGTGACTGGTATAGCCGTCTGATTAGTGACTGGTAAATGGCAGGACTAGTTCTGCCTGACGGTCTCCCCTCTAGCCCAGGCTTACATAGGCTACATTGATTCAATGCTAAATGGAAAAGGACATGCATGCAGAACAGGACTGAAACACTAATACACTCAATGGCTGGACTGTCACAGTCAGTAAGGCTCAAATCCAGTTAATTTGATATATTATCTCAAATGGTGGCTAGTTGCTGATTTATCTCATGAGTGCTCAGGTCTGGCCTTAAAAGAAAAGGCTCAGACTGCACTTTTCTGCCATTCTGAAAACACTGCAGCTACTCAATGAACCACAACTCACACTTGCAACACATCTTACATCAAAGTCACCACACAGGAAGAAATTCCCAAGCCATTCCATGTACAGAAAGAGGAAGAGATCTGGCTCATAACACAGCTAGGATGCTGAGTTTCTCTCCCTGCTCAATCACTCTGGGAAGATGTTTTACCTGGTAGGAGGTGACTGGTTTGTGGTAGCTCTTGAGTGCATTGATGGCTTTGGAGTAGCCCAGAGATCTCCACTTGTCTCCCTGGACAGTGTAGGCCTTTGCCAGCACTTCCAGCTTCTCTGTGATGCACTGGTTGTGATTCTCCTTCTTGCTGTTGGAGGACTGGGCACAAACCCACTTGCTGGCAGGCTGGACCACTGTGGAAGAGCTGTCACTGGTCTCCTCTGATGATTTCACAGGGTAATGGCCAGAAATCAATGCTTCCAGATCTCCCTGGGTGACACCAGCATCTTCTCCTTCACTGCCTTCATCATCAGAGTCTTTCTTTAGGGAGAGGTAGAAAATCAGCCATGTGAGAATAAGTACATGCCTCACATATGTCCCCTTGGCACAGGCTGCTCCTGAGAGTAGGAAGTCAGAGCACAACCAGCCTCCCAGGCATGCAGTGCTCAAACTGCCATCTCTGGAAGTGGTTGGCTATATGCACACCATAGCTCTTCACATCTCAAGCTACACATGCACCCTTTGAAGCTACATGCACATCTCACAGAGCACAGGAGACAAGACACTGCTGTCCACCTGTGATCCAAGCTCACATGCACCATCTAAGTTAAGCCTCTGAGACCTAACTGAGGTAAAACACTGCTTAAGTGAGCAACTGCTGCCAGCAGCATGGTATAACAATGCTGAAATGCCTGGCTGGGATTGATCCCGACTCCTTGCTCCCCCAGGAAACCTTTCGATGGTCTGGTGGCTGCATAGACACCTCTCACATTCAGACTCCGTACCTTCCACCCCATGATGCAGATGACAGGAGATAGGCCCTGAACTCTGTTTTCACATTACAGACACAAAAATCTTAAGAGGGTAGTAAATTACAACCCCCTCATTTTCCCCATGGCTATCTGCAAGAGAAAAGGGGAGGAAGGAAAGACACAAAGGACTCCACATTCCTCAGTGACAGAAGAAAGAACCAATGTATACATTTGCTGATACCCTCAGCATTAGGATGCCTCTGTGTAGACTTAAGAAACAATGAGCCTTGGCTTCAGGTAACGAACAAAAGGGGATAGGAGTGGGAAGCTGCACAGAAGCTTTGCTCACTGGGGTCCTCCTCTCGCCTGATGCATAAACACAGGAGCCCACAATGATCCAAGAGCTTCTGTGCTGTGGAAGTAACCCTGAATGGCACAGGGCTGCTTGGGATCAGCCCAGCAATTATATCCAGCACACCAAGACCTGCTGTGATTTTTTGCAGTGCATCGGCCTAACATCAGAGCCATTTCCTTAGAACCTGTGGTTCTGCTGGCTAAGCAGGTCTGCAGACACGATTCCTGCAAGAGACAGAGCTGAGCCTTTAGGAAGAAGAGGCAGGATGTTTCTCTGTAATCTTGTTTTGTAACTCTGAAAACTGGGTCAGACTGAGGATTTGATAGACTAAAGTAGTTTTATTCTCCCTGAAACCCTTGAAACACAACTCCCTTAAGACACTGTTCCCTCTAATGGCAGCAAAGCCTCAGAGTGCCATTGGTTAGTAAGGCCCTTAAAAGCATCGAAGTAGCACGTTATCCAACAACAACACAAAGAACTCTGCAGCTGGAGCATGCAATTCCCATCCTCTTGGTCAGCATTGTCACATAAGGTAAAAGAACACATAAACCCCTGACTCTAAGCTTCACCAACAAAGCTGATGGACTCTTTACAACCACGCATGCCAAACCAACTAGTCCCACTAGCTTCTAAGATACTCCAGCATCCTACAGACACTGACTTACTAGAGCTGGGCAAAACTGCGATGTGCATGGTTTGTCTGAAGCACAGCACAGGAGCCAGGATAGCAGCTGAAGCCCAGTAGCTGAGACAATATGAGAGGAAGGCAGGTAGCCTGGGATAACAGCCAAGGGTTCAGTCAGTGAGGAACTGGCACTGCTTGCAAAAGCTGCCTTGCATAAAGCTACTGCATCCAGATGCCAGTCACAAAGCAGTTGCTGCAGTGTGGTAACAAGGTTTCCTCACAGGCGTTTACATTCAAACACAGAACTCCCAGAGCAGCCCGTTCACTATGAAACACTGGCACACTCATCACCTCATAGTGAAAACGCATTCACCCAAGCTAGAAATGACTCTCTGCTTAAATGAAGGCTACTTCTAAGCTGAGATTTCAGCTTTGCTGCTGTAGCTGGGTTTCAAGAGTGGTTGGTACTGTGTTTAAAGCATATTCTATGAGTTTTCCTCTCCTCCCCAAACTCACATAGCCCTAAGCTTGGGACAAGGGATTTTACTGAAATGTCTACAGATATTGCTTGTGTGCACCAACTAACAGAAAATATCACTGCTTGAGGGGATTTAAAAGAAAAAAAAGGCAACAAGGCTTCAGACTAGTGGCTGTCTGACCACCCAACGTAAACATGCGCAGAAAGCAGGGCAGATACCACAGGATCCACAGCAGTGCTCCTATTAAGGCTGAGATTTGATAATAACAATTGCCACAAAATTAACAGTTAGAAGAAATAGCAAAGATGGGGTAACTGCAAAGACGATGCAGTTAAGAGGCAGACAGCTCTGCCTATAGCGCACTGGATAGTAAGTCTGGGGAAAAAACATCCTCCCCACACACATATTCAAGCCAAAACCTAAATCAAAGGAGGTCTCAGTGGGCTGCCAGCTAGGGAGTAACCACAGGGGTTTGTGATACAAGATTTGGGACTGTGTTAGAAAACAGATGCCAGCATGACACAGTTGCTGCTGCTCTAAGAGGTCTGGAGTAACTTTGCTGCAATAGATTTGAAGTCAATACCCAAAAAGAATTCAGCAAACTTGAGCAAAAGTACAGAGAAAAGGAAGCAAGCTAACAGCAGGCTGGAGAAGCTGACTCACAGCACAGGTCACTAATAACCCAGCACAGATATTTCAAGCACACCACCACAACTGCTCAAGTGGCAACCTGATCCACTGCACATGTGTCTGAACAGGGTGCTGGCAAAGGAGTGGAGAATGGGTCAGCATGGCTCAGGCAAGCACATAGGATGAAGTATCAGAGACAGATTCCTGAAAGGGAGGTATTCTCAGGCAGGGAAAAGTCCTCAAAAAGATGCAGGGAAAACACGATCACCGGAGTGAGCCTTGGCTACTTCAGCTGGAAACGTTCTGATGGGGACATGAATTTAAGGGACGTTTTTTTCTACTTTTAACATCTAAAAGTGACAAAGAGAAGCAGTAACCATGTGTACAGCCCAAGTCTACCAGCACCAACCCACTGAAACATCCAAAAACCTTCCGTTTGCTGAGAAAATCTAGCACTGAATCCCTGCAGGGATGTTCCTAGCCAGGAAAAGCAGCATGCAGGATCTGCTCACAAGGAGAAGGGTCTGTGTGGGAAGTCTCACCTCAGCCAGCTGCTGCTGTCCAAGGGTGCCCAGGCCTTGCTGCAAGGAATCCTCCAACTGTGCTTTAGTATTTGGTTTCACTGCTCCCTCCTCTGCTAGGGGCTGAATCTCTTCACTGCCCAGTACCTGCTGCTGCTCCTTTTTTTGCAGTTCTCCCTCCTCCAGGTACCTGCTATGAATCACATGTGTTAGTACAGGAGAACTTCTCAGCCCCCAGAAAACTGACTGAGAGATTGTTCTGAATGTTTTGGGATGGAGCAAACAACTCATATGAACTGGGTCACAGATTAATTACTCTGGTTTTGGTTCAATTCCCCAATTTTCATCCACCTTGCTGGCCTGCAACTTCCACTCTTATCTACCTCACTCTTAGACTCTTTCTCCAAAACTCTGCCAAAACATTTGAATCCTAACCTGTGGCTGCCTGCTGCTCCATTCCTTATTTCCTCTTGTGACTGATGTCAATCCTCTCTCTGCAATAAGTAAGAAACATTTAATTCACAGCATTTTCTAAACAAATATCCTTGTATCACTGATGGATTAGGAAGAGGCGCCTTTAGCACTTGTAGCAAGTGATAGGACTCCTGTTAGCACTTCTGGGATATCTTCCATGTTTTGTTACCCCACAGAATGGCAACCGGTTACGAAGTCACTAAATTTCATGCTCTCCATGGGGAAAAGTGACTTTGAGGCATTCCCACAGGAGCTGCAGTCTGAGATTTTGAGCAGAGGTCAAATTTTAGTACTGTTCAGTTTAGGACAGAAGTGGTGTAGTGAGGAACGACATGTGGCATTTGCGTACCTGCGAGGGATAAGGACACGGTAGGCAGCTGTACTCAGCAACTTCTGGTCTCTAATGCAAGCACTCAGCCAGGATGCCTTCACTAGCTGCAACCCTGAAGGTAGCTTGGTTAATTTAAGGAGCCGAAAAGCCCGATCACAGTCCATGTCTTCAGCCACAATGACATGTGTCACCTCTGAGGAGAGCTGGTTGTGTACAGCACCCCCATTCTGGACAATCTGCTTGTGGAAGATCTCTGCCCTGGCTTGGCCAATGCCGGCTTGCAGCACGTAAACAGCAACTGGATTCAGCCACTCTGCTGAGGAAAACACAGGAGCAGGAGCTCAGTGACAAGAGAAACAGTGTCCCAAACCAGTGGGGCTACATATCTCACATAGGACTTGATGGCATCCACAGCGGTAGGCAGTCTTTGGTGGGCACCAGTTGGACACAACAAAGCAGGCTGGCCACAATCTCTACAGAAAACATACTCAGAGGCCAGAAAAAGCCTTTGATGGTACAGCACCTCGTTAACAGGCTGGGGTAGGAGTATTATATTCCATGTCATGGGCAGACAGGACTTACCATTAGGTATTTCTGTTCCTTCCTCTTTTGGGATCTTTGAAGGGATGCTTTTCCCTACGTCATCTCTTACTTTCTTCCTCTTGGGAAAGGCTTTGACAATCCCCCGTGGCTCCATAGGCCTGGTGGGAAGTTTAGCTGCAACTCCTGAATACCAGTAAGAAAGAGAGAGGTTGCTTAAACCAGTATTACACAAGCACAACTTCAGCTTCACTCATTTTGCTCACTCTATTTGCTGTTTTGGAGGTTGTTTTTTTTTTGTTGTTCTTGCTTTCTAAAAAGCCTTGCCCTGAGGGAGATATATGGAAACAAGAATTGCATCCCCCAAGGTCAGAAAAATCAAAGTTAGAAATCACCAAAAAACCATTTAAGAAGATCCTGCTAAGACGACTAATGCTGAGTTCTTACAATAGAAAGTATTTAACTACTTTAGCATTTTGGAGCTCCTTCCTGCCCAGCCAAAAGCAGTAACTTAATTTCTCTGATATTTCTTAAGCGTTTTCCCAGGAGGGAAATGCCTCTCCTGCCAGGGCTGAAATCCAGTCACTGAGGAGAAGGGATAAAAGAACTGACTGACACCAAGTGTCAATACAGCCACAGGAGGAAACCCCCAGTGTGGCTTCATTTGGAAACAGCAACCTAATAAAGATTAACCAGCCAAGTTCAACATAGGTACAACTGTAGCTTTACTACCACGAGCCTTGCAAAGGCAAACTTTGGAGCTTTAACTACCATCCCAGGCTATTGAAAATTCAGTTTTCCATAGCGCAAACTACCCCCTGAATCACTGTATATGCCAACAGCACCTTCCACCCGGCTGCAGCGTCAAGTCAATGCCAACCTGGCTTCCTCTCTCTGCAGCACTTTGCGTTTTGCTTTGAGGTTCCTCACGCACAGACCAGCACGAACCTATCACATTAAACCTGGAAGAGCTGAAAATCATCCCACCTGTGTTTTCTCCCTGTGGTCTCCTCCTCACCCCAGCATTAAACACAATCCCCTGGAAGACCAACACAGAACTGGACTCAAGCCCTTGCTTCTGCAAGGAAGATTTTACCTTAAAGGCAGAAGAAACCCCACTAGGTTTCTAAATCTCAGCTTCACACAGATGTTCCTGTTTTCAGGACATTTTGACCAAAAACCTCCTCTGAAAACAGTAATATTTAAAGAAAACCACCCCACAGTAAACTCCCCCAAGCTTCTACGTGCCCCAGTCCTTTTCAGGGCTTAGAACACTTTTCCAGGTAGCATTTAACTGCCTAAGACCAAACACACATGTGAGGTTACCATGCTTGCCTTGCCAGCACCCTCAGGCCGCGAAGGCTTCAACACCCCCAGCCCAGCGGCACCCAGAGCCTCGGGGGCAGGAAACGATTCCCAGGAACGCCGCGGCTGGGCCCAGAGAGGGAGGTCCTGGGCCAGGGAGGGAAACGGGATCCCCCGTGCCTGAGAAGGGCGGAAAAAGGGCGAGACCCGCCCCCCACCAACGGGAAAGTAGCCGGAGTTCCCCATGACCGCGAAGGGAAGAGTCCCCCAGAACCAGACGTGGGGCGAAGGGGGAGACAGGCCCGGGGGCAGGACCCGCGCTCACCTACGGGCCGGGCCGGCGCGGAGGGAAGTACTTCCAGGTGGCGGCCGGAAGTGTCCGCGTTGCTGTGGCGACAGGGCCCGGTAGCCATGGCGGTGCGGAGCTGGCTGGAGAGGCTGCGGGCTGCCAGCAAGACAGCACTGGTGCAGGACGGTAACCGCGGCCGGGGAGACCCCTTGTGCCCCAAGGCGTGCTTTGGGGTGACACAAAGCTGGCGGAAAGGGGTGGGGTGGGAGCTCCCGGAGACTGCCCGGCACCCGGAAAGGACACAGGGCCATCAGCGCAGGGACGCGGTTCCAGTCAGCGGGACGGGGTGCCAGACAGTGGGATAGGGCCATACGTCCAGGGGTAGGTGTATTCCTGCTTAGCCTCACCACCAGCCTTGCCTCTAGGGAAGCGGAATATCCACTACCTGTTCGAGGATGGGAAGGAGATGGCTGAGGAGTATGACGTGAAGACCGGTCAGTTACTGAGTAAGTGTTGCTCATAGCTGGCCCCAGCAAACGTGGGTCTGTACTCCTGGGACTCATCAGGAACAAACTGCCCCAGAATATTCTGGCCATATGCATGCCTGCAGCTGAATGTTGTAGAGACATAAGTATGGTTCGGTTTGGACCCAGGGAGCTCGGACTTCCATGGCTTGGCAGATTTTGGTTTAGGGCAGGATCTCTCCCAAACAGCTCATATGACCACTGAGAGAACTGGGGTTGTTTAGTCTGGAAAACAGAAGGGTCAAGGGGGGACCTTATCGTTCTCTACAGCTCCCTGAAAGGAGGTTGTAGTGAGGTGGCGGTAGGTCTCTTCTCCCAAATAACCAGTGATAGGACAAGAGATGACATCCTCAAGCTGCACCAGAGGAAGTTTAGACTGGATATTAGGAAAAATTTCTTCACAGAGAGGGCAGTGAGGCATTGGAACAGGCTGCCCCAGGGCAGTGGTGGAGTCACCATCCCTGGAAGTATTCAGAAACCATGTAAATGAGGTCCTCAGTGATATGGTTTAGTGGTGGATTTGGCAGTGCTGGGGTAATGGTTGGACTTGATCATAAAGGTCTTTTCCAACTGAGCTGATTCTCTGATTCTGTCCCAACAGACTTTGATATAATAAATGTGATTGCCGGCTTACATAGCCGGGCACAGAGTCTGTAGCACATGCTGGGGTGAAATAGTTTTTTGGTGGCTTCTGCAACCACAGACAAACAAGGTGTCAGTTACAGCTCTTGTGCAAAACTACATCATCTGCAGCGTGAACCCCATCATGGCTTCAGCACCAAGTAGAAAAAAAAGAGAAACGCTTCAGGAATAGGCCAGCTAACAGATCCACTCACACCAAAGTGGAAATGAATGGAAGTAAGATTCATATCATTTCAGTGCACTGCACAGCTTTGCCAGGCATCTGCTGGAGAAGTTCTTATAAAGCAGAATAATGAAAACCCTTCTTCTGCCTTCCACAGGTAGAAGATGGCGAGAGAAGAACACCCTTGGGGGCTCTGGCAAGTGGCAGGTTGAAGTGGGAGAGCCAACCTCACTGCTCTTGGGAGCACTGGAATCAGAGCTCATAAAGGAAAGCAGCTCCAATGTATGTAAGGGTCTGCAAGTACGACTGCATCTAAAGCTACCTAGCATTTTGGTTACCACAGTAGTAGCAGTAGTTGGTAGAATGCAGATCACTCAAAGCCCAAAAGACAGCCTTAACCTGCCCAGCACTCTACTACAAATCATCCCAAAGCTAGGGGGCTGGGAGAAAAAAAGGCGCAGCTTAGGCTTTTTTATGGTCTTCAAGAGGTTTGTAGTTTCCTTACATAGAGAATCTATACTGCTGTGTTGGCCAGCTACTATTCTGGCTTCAGAAAGAGTAGGCTGGAAGGAAGGCCAGTGCCAGGACAAGTCAGTGGATGGAAAGCAGAGGTCATGACAATGAAAGGCCAACACAGGCAGTGTGTAGCAGGCTGCTGCTTAGCATAGCATGGCTTGTTTCATCTTCACATCCCTGTAGCTTAGGGGGCAGAGGTTTTAGTCTCTCATCACCTTTTCTACAGACCTGAAACGAGAGCACAGCCCTGCACAGCAAACTGGGGAAGAGCCAGGATTGAATCCAGCAGGTCCCTAGGTAGGCAGAGCTTAGTATTCATTTGCCTGGGAGGGAGAGGCCTGGTTTGTGTGAAAGCCTGTACTTAAAAGACACCCTCGCTGAATACTTTCAGCCTGCTACAAGCAGAGCAGGCAGTGCCCTGGATAAAGGCAGAGCAGTGCTAGCTCTGGAAAGTGATGCTCAGGCAGTTTATAGTTACTCCCTAATGCTCCTGTGTGAAAGAAGAGCTACTTCCACGTGGTACCTCTCAAGGTAGTACAGGAAGAAGGGGACAGGGAGGAGAGGAGACAGCTGGAGGGGCCTTGTGTCCTGGGTTCAGCAGTAGCAGTCACTTTTCTCCTTCTTAGTAGCAGGTGCAGTGCTGTGGTTTTGACTTTCAGCCTGGGAACAACGCTGATAACACCGATGTTTTTAGTTGTTGCTCAGTAATGTTTACTCTGACCAAGGACTTTCTGAGTCTCATGCTCTGCCAAGGAGGAGGGGAAACCAGGAGGAAGCAGAGACAGGACACCTGACCCAAACTAGCCAAAGAACTATTCCATACCTCAGCACATCATGCCCAGTATATAAACTGGGGCAGTTACCCAGAAGGGCTAGATCACTGCTCGGGTCAGGCTGGGTATTGGTTGGCAGGTGGTGAGCGGTTGTTTTCTCTTCCCTTGTTATTTCCCTTATCATTATTATTGGTGGTAGCAGCAGTGGTTTGTGTTATACCTCAGTTACTGGACTACTCTTATCTCAACCCGTGGGAGTTACATTCTTTTGATTCTCTTCCCCATCCCTCTGGGAATGGAGGGAGAAAGAGTAGAGGGGGGAGTGAGCGAGTGGCTGCGTGGTTCTGAGTTACTGGCTGGGCTTAAATCATGACACCTTGCTAAAAGTACTTGTTTGCTGTAGCCTGTCTTTGTGAGGAAGGATACCCTGGGCAGCTTCCAGTGGCGGATCCGTAACCTGCCTTACCCCAAGGAGGTCTACAGTGTCTCTGTGGAGAAGGAGCAGCGCTGCTGTGTCATTCGGACCACCAATAAGAAGTCAGTAAGGACAGCACTGCCAGTGCTGACAGTCCCTTGGGGTGGGCTGGCACAGAGGGCAGGCCAGTGGTTACACAGGGGGTGTTGTCTCTTGCCTCCTATTCCCAGTGTGTCCCTCAGCAAGGGTTGAGGGGCCCCACCTTGCAGCTATGTGTCTCTTGACATCCAGTTTCCACTCTCAGCTTTCCCAGATGTGTTTACAGTAGAGTCCCTCAAGCTCTGTGCTGGTCTTTGCAAACTTACGTCACAGCTCCAGTAGCATGGTGTTTGCTCTGTTCTTTCTCTGTCAGATGTTACTCCCTTAGAAAAATAAAGTAAGAGCCTTGCAGACGTTTTGGAGCCAGACTATCCCATCCTCTCCCTCTGACATGATACTTTGATCTAGTCATTGTATCTGTAGGATTCACCAGGTCATAGGCACTCATTCAGACAGCTCT